TATATACCAAGCAATAAGGATCCATGAAAGATTTTCATCAGAGAAGTGACATGGACAGATATATGCATTAAAAAAAAAAGATTATTCTGGCAGCCGCATAGCAAATGAATCATTAAGCACCTATTATGTTCCTCAATAGTAGATGCTTAATGAATGCCTATTGAATTAAGTTCCGTAAGATGGTTGGACTAGAGAATTAAGAAGTGCTAAGGGGTCGAGGTGGAAAAAGTTTAAGAAAGCCTGGACTAGATGACCTCTGAGATGACTTCCACCTCTAGAGCTATTATCCTATTATTGGAAGGGGAAAGAATGGAATAGGTTGCAATAATTCAGTTAGATAGTAATGAAGACCTATAATAAAGTGGTAGTAATGGTAATAGAAAGGCTACAATGTAAGAAAGAAAACTACTTTCATGACAGATTACCCCTGACTTGGTAATTGATTATCTATGAAAAGTGAGGGAGAAAATTTTGAATGTGGGAGGCCAGGTAATTGGTGGTAACATCCATAGAGATGGTGTGGTCAGGAGGAGGAACGGGGGAAAGATAAATAAGCTCAGTTTAGGACAAGCTTAGTTTTAGGTGCTGGGGAGATAGCCATATAGAAATATCTTGCAAACAGTAGGAGACGGGGGTCTGGAGCTTAGAAGAGAGGTTCATGACTATATATATAAATAGATTTAAGAGTCAACAGCATAGAGCTAGTAGTTGAAACTTTTGGGGTGAATTAGTTCACCATGGGAGTATAGAGAGGGATGAGAATAGGACAGAAGACAGGTCCCTGAGGAACATCTGCATTAAGATACAGACAGATCATAAAGAGCCAACAAAGACGACAAAAGAGCAGAGAGGACAAAAACCAAGAGAATGTGGTAAAGGAGAAGAGAGTTTCTAATAGGAAAGGGGCGGGGGCTAAACAATGTCAAAAGCTGCAAAGCGGTGAGTGAATGAAAGGAAGAACCAGAAAAAGTCCAATGGAGAAAAAAGCATTGCATAATTGTTTTTGATTGATTGGGAAGCAAAAGTTCTGAGTTCAAATTCTAGCTCTGCTTACTTATTTACCTATGTAACCTTGACAAATGACAACCTCCCTGGACCTTGGTTTCCTCATTTTTTTAAATGAAAAGAATTGGATTATATGACCTCCACGGTCCCCTATCAAATCAAATCTCATGATCCTGTGATTTAGCAATTAGGAAGTCACTGATGAGCTCTTTCAATGAGCGATAGAGGCAGAAGCCAGTTTGCAAGAGGCTGGAGAAAGAATAAATGGTAAAGAAATGAAGAAACCTAAGATAGAAAATTTTTTTAATTAAGTTTAGCGTGAAGAGAGATGGGCGATGATATACTGGAAGGGTTAATGGAAGGATATTTTCGTATTGGTTATGGCTGAGAGTGTTTGTTAACAGAGGTAAAGGGGCCAATAGGAAACAAGATGGAAAGAGATCAAGTACACAGGAAGAGAAATTATTCTAAATAAGGAGTAAAGTTTACATATCCTGTTAATAGAGGGAAGGAGCAAAAATGTAAAAAGAAGCTGAGAAGCTTTGAGTCTGATAGCAGACCTTCCCAAATGCTTCCCCTCCCTTGACCCTAGCATTCCCATTTGGAGAATGCCTCATTCCTCTAGTGTGACAGCTGTCACAGGAAAGAACCATCTTTGTCATATGGCCAAGAGGTTTTAGGTTCCAATTCTGACACCCAGAACTCATGCCCCTTAATTTTTCTGCCTCAATTTCCCTGTCTTTAAAGGCTAGGGGACATCATTCAGCTTCTGAACAGTGGAGAAGTCAGGAAAGTATTTTAAGACAAAATACAATTTTCTGATTATTTTCAGTGTGTGATTACTGATGTTTTCTCTGCCCTTATGTACGTGCACCTCACTGTCTTTCCTCAGAGAATCTAATTTCCCATCACAGTTACTCCTGGTGCTTTCAAATAAATTTGAAAATTATGGACCATAAATTTGAGGCTACAGGAAAATGATAGTAGAAATTATATGTATATATATAGAGAAATATATATGTATACACACACATATATGTATATTATATATGTATCTTGGATCACTTTTAGACTCTCTGAATTTTGGGTCTTAGGCCATAGAAAGCACCAACTACAGTTACGATTTGGGGGTGGGAGGTTAGTGGAGTTCTGTGTAGAACATACACACACCCCCAAAACACAACCACTTCAAAAGTAGTTTAGTGGTTAAGTTTGGGTTAAGACAGGCATACCAAAGACCTAATACATCTTTCAGTTTTGTACACTACTCTTTCACAGACAAACACCCCCCCCATGCTATGCCTCATCTGATTTGAAACACCTCAAGAGAACACTACACACTAATTACAACTATGTAAAAATGCATATAAATTATCAAAAATTGGAAGGAAATTTAGAAAGATATTAAGTTCAGAGCTGAATAATCATTATGTGTCCCTCCTACCTCCATGAAACTGATTTAACTTCTTAATCTTAAAAAGATTCATGGTGTTCATTATGGCAAAAGTAGAAGACGTACCCTCTCTCTTCTTACCAGGCAGAAAAGAAACCTCAGTATTTTGGCCTGGCAAAGTTTCAGGAAGCAATCATGGAGGCAGGAAAGATATGGGCTAGAATTATATACCAGCCGTGAATAGTCAGAAGCACAGTCACATAAATTATCAACTAAAGGCTGTCCTAATTTCAAAAAAAAAAAAAGATATTTTAAGGTCTCTAAAGAAAAATCTACCTGAGACTTTGGACTAGATGACCTCTAGGATCCCATCCAACTCTTGAAAAGGACAAACAACAACAAAATTCTAAGCATTTTCCACAGCCTTCCTATCCCTTTGTTCAAGTGCACTATCAAGCCTTCCTAGCTATTTCCAGGTTTTCCCCTCCCCCCAAAAAATCTATGTTGTAACTGCTGCCTGCAACGGTATAGGTGTGTCCTTGAAGCATCAACCCTCTCTTTAATTGACTGAGGCTTAAAATTTCTTAGCAAGTTATCAGAATCGCCCTTAGCAGCCAGCCAATGCTTTTCAGCCTATACTGACCAGGATACAGAATTTGAATCAGGGGCCTAGAAATGGAAAATTCTGAAACCAAGGGCCCATCCTATAGCCAAGTTTCCAATTACCTGAAACATGTACAAAAAACTATAAATATCTCAACCCTTGAACTTCACCTACAACCTAAGTAAACTGGCCTGCTTCCGTTTTTTTGTTTGTTTGTTTGTTTGTTTGTTTTTTGCTGAAATCATCATGGCACTATAGAATTTAGATCTAGAAGGGGCCTTAGAGGTCATCCAGATCACACCCCCTCCCCATTTTACACGTGAGAAAACTGAAGCCCAGAAAAGTGAAATTATGTGCCCAAGGTCACACAGGTAGTGTCAGACCTGGCATCTAGGCTTCTTGATTCCAGCTTTATTAAGCTTTTGGCTATGCCGCAATGTCTCTGTACTAGTAAAGAAATGGTGGTCTTTGGATTGAAAGTTTCTTGACCAAGGCAAAGCAGAAAACAGCACAGGTCTGGAAGACAGATCACCTAGGTTCAAGGAGCCCCTTAATAACATGTGACCTAACCTCTCAAAGTCCTGATTTCCTCACGTGTAAAATGGGGACGATTATACTTATCTCACAAGTTGTTGTGAAGATAATATATATGGTATGTAAAATAGCAAAGGAATATATAAATGCATGCTATCATTGCTATTATCACATCTATGAAGGATCCCTAAATACGGCCAAGAAATACCTCTGAAGCCCAGAGGTGTCTGGTGGAGAATTAAGAAATCACACCAGAGAAATCTCGATTTGTAGCCAATTACTTAGCTTTTGTCAGTTAGATGCCATCCAGGGCACATTCCTTAGAAAGCAAAGAATAAAACCCTGACTCTCGAAAAGAACTGCTACAGCTCTGGGCTGACTGACAGCCTCCCTATCTCCTCACTTAAGCTTTAATGAGAGTTCTCAGTATGCAAATATTGTCACCTCTCCCCCCCCCCCCATAATGTCTGGAACATCTAAAATTTAAATTTTCAGAAACAGTGGCTCCTTTTCATCTGGCTTCAGCAACAGTTAAGTGCATTATTATTAACTCCCAGCACTTCTAATTGTTCACTCCAAACAGAGGCTTCGTTATTAATAGGCTATAAATCAAGGCCCTACCTGAAACTCGTTGTCACGGAAACTGTAACTTTAACCCTCCTCCACTCTGCTCCCCCCACCACCCACAAACCCCAAGATCCTGGGAGCTCTGCACTGTTCGGACCTAAGTTCTCATTATTTTTCCGACTTTCTGCTATTTGTCTGGGTCAAGTCCTGGTCGGAGAGATGCAAATCCCAAGCATCTCCGAAGAGGTGTGTATTGTTTTAGGAAGAGTCGGGAGCTGGAAGGGCTAGGGAGAACCAGTTGGTCAGGAGCCTTTTCTCTCTCCCGCTGCAGCTAGCCATGCACAGAGTATGATGCCCCCCAGGGCCTGCCACCCTATCACACTGTTCTGTCTTTACTGGGCGTACTACGGTCCGGGAAGCGGGAATACTAAGTTACACAGAAGCGGAGCTAATTGGCCCCAAGAGGATGAAAGCGGGCCGGGGGCAGGCAAGGAAGGGATGGCAGAAGGGACCGTGGGGGTAGCTAAGAGGTCGTGAGTACGCAAAACACAACCCCGCCCCGGCTCCGGAGGTTGCGTTGGACCCGCACCCAGACTGTGCCTTCCCCAGCCCCTCCCGCCCAGGGCTGTGAGACTCCAGGATCGGCGTCTCCAAAGCGCCTAGCTTGCTGGGAGCCTCAGAAACCCGTACCTCTCCCTGCTCCCCAGTCTACTCTATGGAGCCTCTTCCCCTGCCGCCCACGAGCCCCAGGCTCCGTCCCCCCCTCCCCACTCCTTCCTTCAGGTCCCCAACGTTCCCGTCACGCGCCCCCATCGGGCCACAGCCCCGCGCGTTCCTTCCTCGCTCAATGGACTCCTCCTCCCGGGCTTCTAGTTCGTCCCTCCCAGTACTCCTCACCTGCACTTGGGCTGAAACTGCAGCCACCTAGAGCCCGGAGCAATAGCGGGGCAACTGGGGCGCAGAGGGAGGAGGGCAGCGCTGGGCTCCTGGCACAGCGGCCGCCGGGCGCCTGGTGCTGCCGAGCCACAGACCCGCCCAGAGATATAAATAACATTATCTGAGGAGGGACATTCCTGCCGGGGGACATCGCTGCTGCCGGGACCAGATAGTCCCGCGGCGGGGGCGGAGGAGGCGGGGCCACAGGCTCCCGCAGCGCCAGGCCCGGCCCCAGCCTACCCCCACACCCGCCAATCACCCTCCGGAGGCCCCTGGGAGCACCTGCCTGGCCACAGTTTGGCCTCCCTCTTCCTCCCTCCCTCCGTGATGCTAGGCCCTCCTTTAAGCCACCGACCCCTCCTCGCCTCTGGCCTCCAGCATTGCATTTGAGTTGGGAGCGGGTAGAGCCTGAGAGAACCACAGCGCTCGCATCCTTTCCACACATCCACCAACTGCGCGCCAGCAGTTCCCAAGAAGAGCCCCCTGCGGCGGGGAAAGATTGGGCTCCCTTGTTTGGGGCCTAATTCTTGCAAATGGAACTACAAGCCCTGCCTAGACAGGGATACTTATGCAACCTTTCCTTCCCTTACTTCATAATCCAGTTGCATTTAAAAGAAAGGTGACTTCTCTGTTCACTCAAACTAGACACTTGCTCTCTGACAGTTCTCGTCTCAGCACGGTAGCTGAGTAGGGATACCCTGGGATTGGCCGCTTCTAATGTGGTACGTTATTTTTTGTTTTCCAAACCTCTGGTGCTGATTTCTCTGGGGCAGTAGAATCGTGGCGTTAAGGAAGTACCTGGAGTCATTGACCCAGAGGCAATCTAGCTATCCTTCGTCCTTCCCTAGCTCAGAGGGGGAAAAGGCTCAGTGTTACTGTCTATGCAAACCTGATGTATTTGGGAGAACCGTGCAATGCTGCCAATGCAAAGCCTGCAATCCCTTAGTGATCACACAGCGCAATGACGATAATCAACAGACATGCACCACAGGCGACTCCTGGCTGGCTGGCTGCTGGTCTGAGAGAGGGATCTGATGCTTCATAAAAACTCAGTTCTGCTCCTGGGGTTTGGTATGAAAGGGCCAGACAGCTAGAGGAGAAACTAGAGCAGTAGATGTTATCAAAGCGGACGGAGAAAAGCCTGCATTAAATTGAGACCAAGAGGAGAGGTCTCAAAACCTGCCTTAACAAAGTCACGATTTTCTGTGTTTAATATACCAGGACCCCAGGGGCTCAAAAGGTGTTTGTTGATAAGGCTTAGCATGCATAACCCCCTTGTCCCTTTCACCTCCGTTCCTCTACACCTGAGCCCAAGAATGGTTTCTCGCTTTCCCTGTCATTTTGACTTGAAAATCACAGGTATTAAAAGAATTGGCAGTTGAGACGAAAAGTGTAGGCTTATTGAAGAGTTTTAGCTATTACGCAGTCCTCCCAATATTCACGACAGAACATAGACCAATCTGAGTTATTTACTTGAGTGCAATTATGCTGTTTTCCAGCCTTCCTCAGGGAAAAGCTTCTTACCAATCAATCAACGAGCACTTACAAATTTCAAAACTGTAGCGAGATCTCGAAGATCATTTTTAGTCCAAACCCTTCACTTGCAGTTGAGGAAACTGTGGCCCAGAGCAATTTGGCCATGATATAAGGTTAATTTGTCTTAGAGGCATAAATAAAACTTATCTCCAGACTCAACAATATGCTCTTTCCTCTACACCGTTCTCTCTCTTGCTCATTTGCCGGGTGTGCACATCCAAGGTATATGTTGAAAGACAGCTAGTTTATATGTTGAAAATGGGCAAAAATATTCCACGACTGCTACATTCTCACTTGTGGTGAGAATTAGACACAGAACCATGCTGAGAGTATGACAACTTTGGCAGATACTATAGGACCAAAGGGCTATCTCTGCCATAAGTAATACCAGTGCTACTTTCTCTGGGTCTTCCTACAACCACATCTCTCAAAAGACAGCAGCTAAAATAAGAAAGAGGTTACACAAGTGCCATTGACATTACCATAGCCTCTGCCCTCTTATAAGAGCTATAACTAAGATGGAGAAACCGCAACTTTGTCACTGAAATTTGGAGAATGTTGAGAACATCTAAATTCCATCAACAAGTAAACATTCATTTAGCACCTATTTATCAATAATAATCAGCTAAGCTGGGAAGCTACCAGATGGTCCACTTTCTCCAGCCCCCCACACCCTAGATTGAGCTTTTCCAAGATTCTGCTTCCTCCAGCTTCCTTTAACTTCCCCAGCAGCAGCCTTGGTTAATGTTTAGGGTCTCTGTCTCCCCCAACAAGGCCTTGTGTCCTGAGATCCAAGATCTCTCCTTAGGTCGCCCCTTCCCTTGCCACTGTATTTATCTGAAAAAGTTAATTTGTGGAAACTTTTAATGCTGCTTTCTATAGACAAGGGTCTGGAGGACGAGGTGTTGTGCTTGCCCCAAGTACCAGAATTGTTAGTTATGACTCTACTGGATCTGCTTCCCATCACTACAGCTGTGCACAATCCACTTTTGGTACAGATTTAAGAATCCATTTGCTGTTTCTTGAGTTAGAAGATGAAAGGAGAACTCTTCAATTTAAAAAAAATAACAAACATATTCTGTTAAGAAAAATAGGCCAACTTCAAAAGCAGAGACTGTTGTGTGTCTTAAGTAGAAATTCTGATCTATTTTTGAAAGAAAAAATAGATGGAAATGATGTTATTAGTGATTGGAAAAACCTCCTATGAACATAGATATTAAATATATTCATGATCCTCCAACACTATCTATGTAGCTACAAAAATATGTACAATAAGAGACACAGATAATTCCTTGGCTATAGATTTGTTTCATACCAAATAGTTAAATGCAATTTTTCCTCTTTGCTATCTTAAAATTCATAATTTGCAGCCACAAAGAAAAAATGTCATAAAAGCCCCAAGCCCATGGACAAGTTAACTCAAAGATTTTATGAACCGACTCAGCTGCTTTCACTCCCTCCACTTTAGCTGAAAGCTAAATAATTCAATGCAGCCTCATTTGCTACAGAGCCTGTCATAGTAACAGCATCCCCAAATGCTTTGTAGCTAATAGAGTTACAGTAAAATGATAAATCAGAGTGCAGGGAGAGGGTTTAGAAATGCAGGAAGGAGTAAAGATTATTTTCAAATTAGATTAAAAGCCATTCCAAAACTCACTCACAAAAGAGTTTTCAACTAAAAACCAGTGACCTGAACCAAAATACCTTATGAACCCAAAGTGAAAAAAATAGACCAATTCGCTGAAATGTGAACTAAATTGAACCAAAATATTATTTTTAAACTGAAGATATATGTTTTTGGTTAGCTTCTTTAAAAAAAAAAAGACAACTTGCCAAATAAACCAGTTCAAATAGGATCCCAACTACATGTTCTATTTAGAGACAATGAACCATAACTAGAGCATCAAAATATTCACCAATACAAAACCTAAATCTCACTGATGTTTCATTTTAAGTCTGCTAGAAAGCTGGGAAACAATTTCTACAGCCAGTGTTTCTAATAAAGGCCTCATTTCTCAAATATATAGAGAACTGAGTCAAATTTATAAGAATGCATGTCTTCCCCCAATTGATAAATGGTCAAAGGACATGAACAGGCAGTTTTCAGATGACGAAATTAAAGCTATCTGTAGTCATATGAAAAATGTTCTAAATCACTATTGATTAGAGAAATGCAAATCAAAACAACTCTGAGGTACCACCTCATACCTATCAGATTGGCTGATATGACAGAAAAGGAAAATGATAAATGTTGGAGAAGATGTGGGAAAATTGGGACACAAATGCATTGTTGGTGGAGTTGTGAACTGATCCAAACTGTTCTGGAGAGCAATTTGGAACTATGCCCAAAGAGCAAACAAACTGTGTATACCCTTTAATCCAGTAATACTACTACTAGGTCTGTATCCCAAAGAGATCATAAAAAATGGAAAAGGACCCATACATACAAAAAATATTTGTAGTAGCTGTTTTTCTGGTGGCAAAGAATTGGAAATTGAGGGAATGTCTATCAGCTGGGGAATGGCTGAACAAGTTGTGGTGTGGGAATATAATGGAATACTATTGTGCTATAAGAAATGATGAGCAGGTGGATTTCAGAAAAACCTGGAAAGATTTACATAAACTGATGCTGAGCAAAGTAACCAGAACCAAGAGAACATTGTACACAGTAATGGCAACATTGAGCAATGATCAACTTTGATAGACTTAGCTCTTCTCAGCAATACAATGTTCTAAGACAACTCCAAATACTCATGATGGAAAATGTTATTCACATCCAGAGAAAGAACTTTGGAGTATGAATGCAGATTAAAGGATGCTATTTTCACTTTTTTTGTTGTTTTTCTTTCTTATGGTTTTCCCCTTTTGTTCTGATTCTTCTTTCACAACATGGCTAATATAGAAATATGTTTAATATGATTGTACATGTATAACCTATATCAGATTGCTCACCATCTTGGGGAGAGGGGAGGAGAGAGAGAGGGTGAAAATTGGAACTCAAAATCTTATAAAAGTGAATGTTATGGGGGGGGAGAAAAAAACTTTCTTGGGTTTTGACTTAGTTGGGCAATAGGGAGCTCAATCTCATGGAGGCTGCAATCCCAGGGTCTTTCTCCTAGTGATGCAGAGAAAAACAGCTTTTATAGTCCACTCTGCCCAACCTAACCCCATCTAAGTAATAGTTGACCAAATTATTTTAAAATACTTTACAATAAAAGCCTTAATTAATGGGGGGGGGATTTTTTAATCCTGCTAAAAACAAGGAATGAGTCATAAACTGAGATTCATAAATAGGTAGGTACATTTCCATCCTTCCTCTAGGAACAATAATGGGCATCTTCCCTTCCACTGTCCTCAAAAGCAGGCTGACAGTAGTATCACTTCCCAAAATCTTCCAATGGCAACATAGAGAAGCAAATGACAAGGGACACTTTTCCCCTCTACTTCATTATATGGCCAAAAGAACTTGAAAGCTTGGCTTAGAGCCAAGAGGCTCT